AGCCTCTTCCCAATATGCGTTTTTGCAATTTACATATATGCAAAAACGCATAAAAATGCATAAAAAACGAATTTGCTTTCTAAGGTAATTGTTTGCAGTTGTTGATGAGTGTCAGACTGGACAAAATGATTGCTCACCGGAGGCACATTGCATGGATACAGAGGATTCATATGAATGTGCTTGCCCGGCTGGATACATTGATGTATCACCGGACACTGCTCAGAAACCGGGAAGGCGATGCTTACTGAGTAAGTTTTGGGTTCATCTGCTTGTCGGTGAAGGCTGCCTTCTTGCTGTTTGGTTTTATGCACATTTTCAGTAAGCGTGATATTTCACACTCGTTTAAATTTTTGCAAGCACTTTTATTGACTTATCTAGTTAAGCACCCAGAGCCTATTTATAAAATGCTAAAAGAAATCTTTCAAGCCTACAGTCCTTGAAAGATTTCTTTTAGCATTTTATAAATAGCCCTGTACTATGCTAGTATGCAAGAATTTGTTAAGACACATAACGCTTTAACTTCCTTTTAATCTTATAGATTAGTATTGTCGAAGTTAGTCCAAGAGGCTACAATTAAAGCTGGCTAAATTTACTCACTGACATATGCTAGTACCAATTTACCATTTTAAAAAAGTAACTTTTAAGCTTACACACTTACGCAGTTCAAATTCACTAAGCACTGAGATCCAACATTCCAGATGCACATAGTAACTTTTAAGATTCTGTGTGATCTTTAAAATATCCGAGGGAAACACTGCAGGAGTGAATGAATGTAAGGAAGGTCGACACGATTGCTCGCCAAATGCAGACTGCGTGGACACTGCCGAATCATATATCTGCAAGTGTCGCGATGATTTCGTAGACGAATCACCGGATACCAAAAATCGCCCAGGAAGAATCTGTCGTCCGGCGCTGATCGATGAGTGCAGGCTTGGCAAGCACGACTGTAGCCAAAATGCAGTGTGCCAAGATTTACCGCAAGGTTATACATGCCACTGCAAGTCCGAATTCATCGACCAGAGCCCGAATCGAGCTTCATTGCCCGGACGTCTATGTGTTCCAAGACCAACAGCACCACCCGAGGAATGCCGAATCGATGACAGTGCATCGTCGTGCAAAGAGGAACTTAATGAGGTAAGTTATTGATACCCAGCACCTCAAGAATTTGCTGGTCCTCTAAATGCATCTTTCCTAGTTGTTTTTGCCAATGCTGCATCGCCTGTGGTCAGCCCTGTGGCGATCCTGGCTTTCTTTGTGTCTGCCTGGGTCTCGCGGACAGGCCTTCTTTTTGAAAAAAAGTTGTGGATCGGGAGGAAATCGAACCACTTGTCTTCGCATCCGGACGTAGTGTGCTAGACTACTGTATCACCAGCAGCTGTGCTGCACTCATCTACTGGAGTACCTATTATCCTGTACGTATGGCACCTTAATACGTGCTTTGTATCGTCTGGCTACTACGCCCAGGGCGGTACATTGCCAGTTTTTCAGGGCGCTTTCGCGGCAGAAGTGCTACCAGCCCAGCGGTTTTCACGACAAAAATACTGATGGTGTGCGCATTGAGCACTGTCACCTCTCGTTGCTGTTTCTAGACCACGCTGGGATATTTTACTAAAAGATGAAGTGTTATATATATATATATATTTCTTATTTTTACTTTATTTTTGCTATCAAAATACGTTTTCAATAGCTTATTGAAAAAAAAATGCATTATATTACTAGTGCTCCGATGTGAATTGTTATTTAGTGATTTTTATTAAGGATTTGGCTTTTTTTATTGAAATTTTAATTAAAAATACTCTGTTCTTCAAAATTCCACTCCTTGCGGAAAAGCTTATTACTTTTTGACTCAGTTTGCCTTGTTTTTGAACTTGTGCGAATGATTTTGTTCGTTCACTGAGTGCTCGATTTTTCATACATAAGCCGTCGCCAAATGGTAACATCGTCGTGTATGTAAGCTTAAGGTGTCTTCGGATTTGTATAAATGCAAATCATGTTCAGCATGTGTGGATTCCACTAGTACTTCATCCAGTGTATGATCATAAAACGACCACTGAAACGTATTAAATTACTTAACTGTTTAAGGTTTGTCGACTGATCAATGGTAAGCCGAAATGCGCATGTCCAATAAACTACAGCCGTGATCCGACTACAAAATCGTGCACCACCATCGATGAGTGTCAGTTCCCGCAGTTGAACGATTGTCATCCTAGCGCTGAGTGCATCGATAAGCCGGTCTCCTACACGTGCCGCTGCAAGCAGGGTTTCAAGGATATATCACCGGGTGACAAGCCTGGTCGTGTCTGCCAACCATGTTCGTTCTTCTTTTAGTTATGCTAACGATTGTGATGACTGCGCTCTATCTTAATAGTTTGGTTAGAATGTTTTTTGTATGGCACCCATGTAAATATATTCAGGATTCATGGCTCCAGGTTGATTACGTTCAAGTGGTACTGTGATTCCTAGATATTCTACTGTAGAATAGACTCAAATACAGAAACTACAAATATCCTTAAAATTTTCTTAAAATATCCTAATTTCTCCGACTGTCGCCCTGAAACACATCAGTCACTCAACTGACCAGTATATCCTGCTCACTGCTTTACAGACGTTAATGAATGCCAGTTCCCGCATCTCAATGATTGCCACCAGAATGCGGAATGCATCGACAAGGAGGACGGTTACGAGTGTCGCTGCAACCAGGGCTATATGGATCGACAACCCGAGCGACCAGGCAGGCTGTGCAAAAAGAGGGTGGACGAGTGCGCGAAACCCGAACTCAACAGGTAGTAGCAAATCCTAGGATTTTATGGGAATCCTTCGGCGCTTCGGGAGTTTTTCTAACTATCACCATGCCTGAATGTTTCGTAGTTCAACTACGAAATATGCCTATTGTTCAGTGTGGGGAATGAAGATGGTAAAGCGCTAAATCCTAAATTTAACGGTAATTTTAGGGAAGCACTCCTTTAACATTCATCCCATAGCTGTAAACAAAGAGAAAGTAGAGAAAATTGGAATTCATCAGTACAGCCTCCTGCTTCAAATTTGGGATACCATTCGGAAATGCAGCTAAGAATGCTAACAAAGTGCCAGTTTCAATGACGTGATAAGCTGTGCAACTTGCAGCTGTGACAAAAATGCGAACTGCATCGATGAGGAAGAGGGGTATCGGTGTGAATGCAAAGATGGATATTTGGATGTGTCGCCATCGCCCACATTCCGCGGCCGTGCATGCCGTGCTCTCATTAACGAGTTTGTTGTTTTTTTGTATTCTTGCATAAATCGTAAAAACCCACTGTGGTGTAAAATACATTTCGGCACCGATCTGATAATTGAGATTCTTAGTAACATCTCGCTTTTTGGTTACCTTGTCGCAATAGGATGAGGCGTATGGATTTTTAGCATCCCTTTTTCATTTTTCTTTTTTCATGTCCTTCATCTTGGCGCATCTTCTAGCGCTCGTCTTGCAATTTTTTGCATTTGTTGTTTAACTGCTTGATTATTATTGCATCGCCGCTAGTTGTCAAGGTGGCATTGTTTCGTACTGTATAATTTTAGCCGGACAAAATGATGCACACTGTTTCCTTGAGGATTTGTAACTCGTCATGTCTCGACATTATCTAGTTCGTTATCACCCCCACACTAGGATGAATTCGGACTGAATCTTATCACAGACGAAAGTATACAAATCATTGTAGTAAAAAAGTTAGGAAATACTAATACCTGGTCAGTGTGTTACGGCGGACTGACAGCGCCACTAGGCACTGCTAGCTTAGTGACCCGTAGAAGTACTCGTTTCTCCAGATCGGTTTCGGGCCGTATAGAAACTGTTATTCTGCGCGGTAATTTTTACTAAAACAGGAATTTCCGGTTTTTTTTGCTTAGGCTCTTGTTGTGGTCTATTTGTTTGAAGTTAAATTCAAGTATT